ATGAATTCAGTCTTATGAATTCAACTAAGCTTAAGGATTCATCAACAGTACAAAAACTTAATTTCTCGAATAACTTCAATCTTCGTATGGATAAATATCTCACGCTTTTATACTCGATAAATACACAAAAAATGTCACTTATGCATATCATGTCAGCTGTGAAGTACACCTTTCAAATCCCGTTGCATTTATTTACATTCTGATTTTGCTGTATTTTCACACAATTTCTTTTATTTGTGTAAACTACAGCAAAATAGTCTTATTTGGTGCGATTTCACTAAGAAAATGAACTTACCAAATGGGAACACATTCAACGTGCTAGCAAAATGTCTTCAGTCTGTACTGTCTACAATTGTTCTTAAACACTTTAGGGAATTTGGGCATGCATATGATCATGAGCAAACTGCTCGAAAAAGCGTCTAAAACTAAAGATATAAGCGCGTGATTGTTGAAACCGTTTTGTTCGAAGACGATGGCGACAGCAAAATCTATAAGGATATGGTCCATTGCTTGCACAATCTTATTGCACGCGATTCTCAGCTTCTTCTCATACTGGGACATTTGATGATATTGTTGATGCTGCAATATGATTGACACAATGAAGTAATTCAATGACTGCCTGAGCATAATTGACGATGTGAGACACGAAAACATACTTGATGAACTGTAACCGGAATCTGCACGAAATTTCATGGGGATTTTGGAAAACATGTTGAGTGATAAGAAATAGAGTTAATTGAAAGGCATTTTTAGTTTAAAGACATGCCGAGAGGTAGCGAGGAGAGAAGAAGCAGCGGGGGTCGGGGGAGGAGCAGGAAGAAGGATGTGGTGAACGACCGGGACGTTAGGATGAAGATGTTCGGGAGGCGCGCGTTGGAAGGAGTTCCGGNGAGTTCCGGGTCACCCGGAGACGAGGATGGTGGGCGAGGATCTGCAGTATGGGAGTCGCGGGAAAGTCTACTGCAGCAATTTGCTGCAGGTACTGGGGGTACTTAGTTTTATGCCCAGCTATTGCGAACTGGTTCGGTGGGTTAACCTGGAATGGCCAATCACTATCGACCAGTTGCCACCCGAATTGGGTGGCCATTCAGTCTGTAAGTTTGTTTGCGAATCCACGAAACAATGATTTTGTC